TACGTTCCCCTCGACGCCTTCTGAAGGCTGGTCGCCTTGCCCAGTGGCTGTTCCCCCCACTTGACAAGCACCGACTGGTTAGTCAAAGCTTCCGACGCTACCCTCCCGGCGTTGCCGACCTGACCGACACGGGCACAGTGATGTGGTGTCCACCTGTGATTGGGCTCTGTCGACTCGCCAGCGAGCACATGGTGCTCCGTGAGTGAGGCCACCTGTTTTTCCCCCCCCCCCCTTCGTTCTTCTGCCTTTTCCCATTGCCCTGCTCGTCGGCTGGCGTCCTCGTGCGGGTGCAACGTCGCCACGCGCGGCTCGTCTGTTCGTTCCCCTCCATGTGTCCTGCATGTGCACTAATTATCTGGCTCTGTGCCCCAGTTTGCCTGATTAACACGCCCTCTGGACTTTTCCTTGCGGGCCGCTGAACAAAAAAATATCCCCACCAGTACTCGCTACAGCGGCCTGTGCGCCTCTGCAGCCAATTATCGCGCTCTGTGGCCCAGACGTTATTCCCGCTCACTGGGTATGTCCTTTGAGCCGCCGAAACAAAAAAGTATCCCCACCAGCCCATCCATAACCAATTGCCAGGCAAGTTGCCCGAGTGAGGGACGTGTAGGAGTACGCAGTCGAAGGGTTGCCTAGGAAGCGTGCGCGGGCCGCAGAAGCGACGGGAACATAGTTTGAATGATTCAACATTTGTTCCGATGCTGAGGGCAGTCTTTGAGCGTCTTGGGTGCTTCGGGGATTCTCTTGAGACTTCTTGGGGGTATCTTAAAATCCTCTTAGACGTCCCTTGGGCGCCTTTTAAGTCCGTCTGGGCGCCTCTTGGGGCTCTCTTTGGGCTCTCTTGGGGACTGTAGGGGCGCTCTTAGAGCCATCTTGGAAGATCGATCGAAGAAGGGGAGGGGTCGCATCTAGCATATCCCCCCGAGAGTGCTTTACATTGTCTCTTTGCGCGCATTTGGAGCGCTCTTGGGCGCTCTTGGCCGTCTTGAAGGCCTTTTGGGCCCCTCTTGGAGCCCTCTTTGGCCATCTTGGAACCATCCTGAAGCCTGGAAGCGCCATTGGAAGCGAAAAGGCAAGACAGCAAAACAAGTGGCGTCCCTGAGGTTTTGTAAGGGATTTGGCCTCTTGGCGGCCTCCCAGGGAGGCTCCGTGGCCACCTGGAGCCATTTTGGAACGTCAGTGTGGCCTTTTGGAGCATCTTGGGAGCCATCTGGAGGCGAGGCATCTTGGGCAATCTTGAGCCATCTTGGGGGACATCTCGGGCTCTCTGGGACGCTTTTGGAGCCGCCTTAGGCAATCTTTGACGCTCTGACCCCTCGCAGACCCCCCCGTCCAAGTCCTTTGGGGGAGAAGCGGGTTGGAAGAGACATCTCCTTGGACCACCTACGCCCAGAGAGAGGGCTGGGGGGACTAGGTATCGGGGTATCCTTGATGCTGGTAACGACCATCCTGAAACATGGATCCTTAGACCTACGATCTTGATCGGCGTCACCTCACCTCGATGCCGATCTTCGAGACTCCGTCGGTCTTTGAGGGCGCACCCCTCAGATTGTAGTCGCCCTCGGGCTTGTCAATCGTGGGGTTAGGGATCAGCGAGACCGAGGTGAAAGGGGTGGGTCGCCGTGGCGGCAGGGGGCCGGTGTTGAGTGGGCGCGCGACGACCTTCGTGTCGGGCGGGTGGCAGCGGGGGGGATGGTCTACATCTTTTCGTCATCCGGACGTGTGTATTGTTTCTTCGGCGAGGGCCTTCGAGGAGCATCCTTGATCATTTGGCGAAAAAAACACGCACGAAATCGAGAAGAACACAGGGAAAGGACGTCCGAGCGATGGCCAGACATGTGGGGTGAAGAGAAGGGTCCCAAAAGGGCCCTTCTCTCGACCCCCCATGTAGGTTGAAGTCGGACATGCCCCTCTGCAGGAGGAAGCTGCAGACATATTCAAAAAATAGTCGGGGGCGACGTTTCTGCTATTTTTGGCTGTTTCTAGCAACGTTTTGACTACCCTCTATGTTCTCCCAAAGTCAGCCTGTAGGAGGACATGCCCCCCTCCCACTACCACCCGCCCGATGTCCGTTCTCGACGCTCCAGAGCCGCGCGCTCTCCGCGTGCAGGCCCGGGCAGGACTGGGACGAGGCGGAGGAGGCCGCGCTCGCGGAGAGCTGCCGCCGGGAGGCGCCCGACGGGGGAGGGTCCGATCGGCACGCCCGACGCTGGTACGGAAGACATGTCATCGAAGTCAAAAGAACTCCTAACCTTAATAACACGAAGAAGACGTGGCCTCACTGAGGTACCCGTCTCCGCAGTAGGGATGATACATCTGGGCGGTCTGGCCTGGCACATTTGCAGAACAGACCCCCTATCCCTAATGTTCCTGGACCTTGTAACTTGGGTTCCCTCCCAAATGATTAGGGGTCCTTTTATTGCTGATCAAAGTGGGTACGATGCCAAGCAGCACATGTTGTCCAAAGCCGACTGCGGCTGCTGCTGGACAGGTGAGCTGTTGTCTCAAGTGGACAACGCCCGCGACGACACAGATAGCGAACGCGGTCCAACAGGGACAGGAGCTGGTGTCTGTCTTCGTCCCCAGTCTTTCCGTACCCATGTCGGTCGTCCCGTTCAGAAGAGGAAAAAAGGTATCGATACCGCTGTTGTTGCCTAGCTTTCGCATTGTTTCTGGCCTCCTGGGAGGCCCTCGTCGCTCGCCACACCGCTGGATTCGCCTTGGGGTTCTGCTCAGAATGCGCCCGTGGAGAGGTTTGGGGAGACGCGGTATCGGTATGCGTTGGTTTCCGCATTCTGGCCGTCAGTGTGGGGCCAGGCGCCGTTTCTCCGACATGCCTCGTGGTATGCCCGGCCATGGTAGGATGTGCTCATCACTGGTCACGTTTTGCGTGTGGCCAGCCTTGGCCCTCCAGACCCCACCTCCCACGGCCTTCTTGGGCTAACGTAGGGCCATGGTATAGGCCCGCAGGCCGATCGGAAGCCGAAAAGGAGGCAACGATAAACTCATCACGGATGATGGTAGTTTTCTTCTCACGACTTGGGCATTTGGTGAGCCTCCTCGGGAGCCGTTTTGGTTGGTCCCGATGGCAATCACCTTCGGCGGAACGTTTTACAGGCAAACCTAGTAATAAAGATGTGTTGCTCAGTTGCAGTTGTTGTAGGACGTGAGGGGGCGAATCATTAGTTTTGCTTGGACAACTGTGGCCGCCTTGCGGGTTCTGGGACCCCGCGAGACATCTATTTCGGGAGGCCCATGTGGGCTGTTTTTTAGCGGCCTGAGGGTCCATCTAGGGGTGGTGTCTTCAGAGCTATTTTAGAGCATCTAGGGCCATCTCGGGGCCCTCTTGGGTCTCTCTTGGAGTCTCGTGGAGGCATCGTGGATTTCTCTGAGGCTACCTTATGTGCGTTTGGCAGCTTGTGAGACCCACTGCAGGTCCTCTGTGCCCGTCTTAAGATCTGATTCGGCCACCCTGGATCAAGGCTCGGCAGGCTCCTGGGACTCCGAAGCGCAGATACGTGGCCAATGCGAGCAGCAGCAAACGTCGCAAGACTTGACAGAACGGATTGGGCCTCTCTGGGGGTCTCCCTCGGAGCTTCTGGGGTAATCTCGAAGCCATCGTGGGATCAGATTGTGGCATCTTGGGGCATGTAGGGGGAATGCTGAGAGCAGTTGCGCTAGCTGGGGCTGACTCTGTTCCTGTCAAATCGTGCAGCCTTGGCGGTTTTAGGGGGGCAAATGTGGCCCTTTGAGAGGCAATCTTGGAACGACTCGAGTCGTCTTTTATGCCCCAGATGCCATTTGGAGCTAGTTCGGCATTGAACGTGGCAGTGATGGGAAGGTTCGGTAGTAGTGTCCGAAAGATTTGGGATACAATATCTGAAGGACTTGAAGGACCTCAAGCCACATGATTCTCCATACAAGTCATGGCAGGGTGTGTGAACCAAACTTCCTGTGGCTCAAGACCACGAGAGGGGTGGATCTCAAGGTCTTCAGCCCTTTGCTGTAATCCCCACGCTCTGAGCACAGACCTCATCATCTCTTGAAGAGTATTGCTTGAGAGCGATGGATTGACATGTTTCTTGGAGCAGCGGGATGGGATATTCGGTGTATCGGGTTCCTGGGAAGTTCGCAGATCTTGGGGGGGATGCACAGGTCTTTGGGATAGTTTGAGTGTCTTTGAGGTCGTGTGGAGGTTACTCCCTTTCACTGTGAGATCTCAGGCGCCCTTGGGAGTCGTTCTGGGGGTGCACCAGGGCGCTCCTGGGGGCTTATTTGAGCCCCCTGTGAGCCATTGGGAGGGACTCATGTTCGCGCCCTCTATTTTCCTTGCGAGTTCTCGAAAGCAATCTGGACAGAACGGGGGGGGAAGCCTCAAGAGCGTGAGAGTATACAGCACTTTGTATCCGTGGAAAGCCCGATAAACATTGGAATGCCGTAGCCACTGGACAGATGATCTTTTGCGTTTAGCGGTGGGTCGTGGGACGGGGACTTTTCTGCAGTTTGCACGGGATCGTGCTCATGGGAGCGCAGATCCAACGACCTCTATGTGAGACCTTGGCCTTCGCGTCGAGGACCATCAGCGGTTCACGATCTTCAAAACGAGACCCGTGGCCATGCTAGCGAAGATCACACGTATTCCACAGGGGCCAGCTGCCCCAGTAGCGGGGGCCGTTGCCTCGGGACCGAGGGTCCGTGTACAGATGTTTTGCGCTGTGGCATCGGGAGCACAAACACTTTGCGCGCTGCGCACAAGGGGCCCTGCCCATAGGTCGCTGAAAGTGGCCAGTTCTAGATCCCAAGATTCCAGGGGTGGCTTCCTACTCCAATCATCGAGTGGTATTGTTCTTCTCCTTCCTCTCAAGAAGGGCGGGCGGAATCCCAATCTACTTCCAAAGCCCTCCTATTTCAATGTCTGCACCCGCTTTTTCGGACCGATGGGTGCGAATGCCACCGTACATCCGGCTGCCTCCCTCAGGGCCCGCCCGGGCCCGCCGGCGCGGCGCCGGCGCTGACGGCGGGCGAGCCGATCGGCCCGGCAGGCGGGCCGGCAGACTGCGCAGCACTGGGGAGCCCAGACTTTAAGGGTAGCTCTTTGGGTGTATATATATATATATATATACACGGGAGTATAACCTGCGCGTCGCTGCCTTATGGCTCAAGGCTCGCGCGCCCTATTTGCCCGGATACCTGACGTGGTATTCGCTATGTGCTGGAAAGACCGATACATCGATCTTCTCCTATCTTACCCATCCACATGCCCATATCGTATTTCTCGACATGGAATTGGATGCAATGTGACCTACCAGGCTCACTTTAGAGTCGGGGCCGCCCATGTTTCGGACGGGGCCAGGATGAAGTCGGGCATGTCCCTCTACAGAGAGAATCTGCAAAGATAGGCAAAACATGGGCTTGGAACGATTTTTCTAGCTCTTGACAAAAAAGTTTGGAATATTTTGGGGTGTATGTTTCAGAAACTGTTCGTGCGAGATCCGCCTGTAGGAGTACATGCCCGAACTAACGCTAGGACGAGGATAAGTCCGTTCCAGAGCATTCCGGAGCGCTCCGGGAAGGCGGCGGCGCCCGATACATCCCCCAGATCCATTGGATCTAAGAGATTCTCGATTTACCCGTACCCGAATAATCATAGTGTTAGTTTCGTCTGTATGTCAGATTCGGGCTAATGGGTCTTTTGCAAAGGCTTGCCTTTGGCATCGTTGGTCCGTGAGATAGGCCACGGGCCATGAGCCACAGGATGAATTAATGATTGTTTTCCCTTCATATATCCGAAGGATACAGTGTCTCTTATTACTCCGACCGCGTCGACTCGTCCTCCTCAGGGTCACATTTGGGGTCGCTACTCAGGTTAGGGTGATGATGTTAGTGGTGATGCTGATGGGCCGTCTGGCCGTCCGGAGGACTTTGAGGGCCCTTTGGGGGTGCGTCATGGGGCCTGTCTTGGGTGATCTCCAGCCCCCTTGCGAGCCACCTATCTTGAGGTCACCTCGGGACCACTCGAGGCCCGTGAGCAGCCAAAACAGCAGATTTACAACGACCGCATGTCTTGTGTTGTGGTTACGGCTGCGGGGGGTGGGAGGGGGTCGGGTTGACCCAAAAGGGGGTCCAGCGACAAGGGGGTGGTGCAATGGATTTGGTGCACTCGATTCGTGGGGTTGCAGTACATCTGGGGCGTGCAATACATTCCAGGGCGCAAATCTATGGTCGGATCTTCGCGTGCAGTGCCTGACGTGCAATGCAGTGCAACACAGTCCTCCGGCGCAGTGCTTTTGCAGTGCAATTGCCCCAGATCTATTGCCCCACCCCCTTTCAGCTGGACCCCCTTTTGGGTCACCCAAAGGGGGGCGGGGGCGAGAGCAGGGGCGGCGCCGCGGGGCGGCCGCCCGAGGGTCGTCGACGTGCTGCGTCGCTCGAGTTCTGCTCTTCCCCGCGGCGTCGCCGGCGTCCGAGCTGCTCCGTGCCGCAGGCGGGAGGGGCCAGGCCCGACGTGGTAGCTGTGCTCTCGCGGTCCTCTGGCGTCTCGGGGCGGCATCCTGACTGGTATCGTTGAGCCGATCCCCATCCTCATCCCCATCCCCTTCGAGACACCCACCGAGACCCCCACCAAATCGCCCCCCCAGTTGGGGACAGCTCCCCCCGAAACCCGAAGGGGATGGCCCATATCCCCATCTAGGGGGGTCAATCGGCCAGCGGGGCCCAGGCCACGCCGCTGGGGATGGGGATCGGTTAAACGATTCTCATCCTGAGGCCACCTTCGGGCCAGACTGGGGCTATCTTTTTAAGTTGGGCGTATCCCTCTTCAGGCGAAATATTCAAACATAGTAAAAGATAGTGGGGCAACGATTTGCTTGTATTATTTGTCACTATTTTTGAATATGCTTGAGTTTTGTTTATTTCTCGTCGAAAATCCGCCTGTAGGGGGACACGCCCGACCTAAGGCTATAGTATGTCCACACGGGGCGATTGGGCACTCGGCATTTCTGTGGCCATTTTGCAGTTCGGCTGGGCCGTCTGAGCCGATGTTGGTAACCTCTTGGGGCGACAAGGACCACCGAAGAGTAATATTTGACAATTTGGCGTCTTCTCTTCGGGGTGGGGGGGCTTCTGGGGGCCGACACGGAGCCATCTCTGGACATCTTGGGCGCAAGACAGACTACGCTGTATGTTCGTGCCTTATCAGGACGTCTTGCTTGGAACAGCCCTCTTGATAAAGAACCTGGGGCCACCTCGCGTCGTCTTCGGGGCCCGTTGGGGTGCTGGAGGCCTCTTGGGAAGTCGTTGCATTAGTTGCGTCTGAGGCAATCTCGATGAGCGAGGGCGGATTAGACCACCAACCCCGCGGGACGTCGTAGGCCCCCCCTCTGCGCAGCACTAACCGCATGAACCAATGAATGGCTCCCCCTCCTGTCGGCGAAGCTATATCGCTTCTCGCCCGAGGAAGCGATATACCGCCCCCAGGCCCCTCAGTGCGGCGTCCAACCAAGATCCGAACAGGAGTCCAGCAAGACCCCAATCGGATTCCACTGAGAGCCCAAGAGGGTTGCAGCATGAACCCAGTCACTAATATCCCAATCGAAGTCTCGAGGATACAGAAGGCAGCACGAGAGAGAGATGCATGAGGAAAACAAAGAGAGAGAAAGAGAGAGAGAGAACACAAAGAACAAGAGAAACCAGCAAGGCAGCAGTCTAGCATTGCGTCGGACTGTCTGGTGCCCCCAGGGCGTTAGTAGTGCGTGTGGGTTTCCCTGGACGATGCTGTTTGCACAGCGTGGCGGGTTTCGCCGCTGTCCGGATCTGTTTTCGGGTGCTCAGGACCGTCGAAGGGGGGTTTGCCATGGGGGTTTGCTGTGGTGACCTTGGAGGATGATGTTTGCACAGCGTGGTGGGTTTCGCCACTCTCCGGATCTGTTCCCGAGTGCTCAGGACCGTCGGAGGGGGGGTGGGTTTTTTTTTGTAATTTGGGGGAGACAGTCGGCCTTGCCCGATCGCATCCCCATTCCGATGCTTGCCGCCACCGGCGTTTCTTATTCATCGGAGGTCGATAGACCTCCTACCTTGACGCGTCGATTAAGGAATTGGCCGTTTTCGGTTCGCGAGGGAGCGTCAGGGCCGTCATTTTTGCGGGTCCAGGTCCGTCGGTTTCGGTCCCAGGCCGCTTTCACTAATCGTGCGAAGAGAACTATGCACATGCACCGATCCTGACAACGCCCATCCTTGACCCAGGATCGGTGCATATACCTTCCTGGCCAAGGTAAGAGGGCGTATGCACCGATCCTGGGCTCAGGATGGGCCTGGCCAGAGTCGGTGTATGTGCATAGTTCTCTTTCCTCTAACTAAGGGGAGGTTTACTAAAGGGAGGCTTGTCCACCGCCGACTTACGTGCGGGAGAGGGGGCGCCTCGCTCCGCCCCGCTTCGCCCCCTCGCTCGCGTCCCTTCCTCGAGGCCCCCGCTCGCGCGGAGGGGCCTCGCCCCGACGGGCCCCCATCCCTCGAGGGGCCTGCGCTCCACCAGCACCACCACCACAAGTTGGAGGGGGAGCAGGAGGAGGAGGAGGAGCAGGAGGAGCAGGAGGAGCAGGAGGAGCAGGAGGAGCAGGAGGAAGAGCAGGAGGAAGAGCAGGAGCAGGAGGAGGAGGAGGAGGAGGAGGCGGAGGAGGTTGAGGAGGAGGAGGAGGAGGAGGAGGGGAGGAGGAGCAGGATGAAGACCCCCCCCGTGGTGGTGGTGGTGGAAAACAGGCCCACCAGTCCCTCGAGCGCCCGCCGCCTGGCAGGGCGAGCCCTTTCGGGGAGAGCCCCCCCCCCGCCTAGGCGGGCCGCGGCCCGCCGCCGCGACCTCCGGCCTCCCCCTGGCGCGGAGCGTCTGCTGGCTGGCCGCGCTGAAGGCCCCCCCGGGGGGAGGGTCGTCCAGATGGGGCAGTGCCAAAGCTCACCAGCCTGGAGCTCAGAGGAGGCAAGGGTACCCACACCTCTACCCTTCTGCCGTTTTTCCTTTTTGGGGCCTCCAGGGAGGCCCTCGTCGCCACCGCTGGATGCGCTTCGAGATTCTAGTCAGAACGGCCCCCGGGAGAGGTCTGGGGAGTCGCGGTATCGGTACTTGTTGCTCTCCCCAGGAGCGGCTCCTCATCCCTGATCTCGATGCCGGCCGTCTGGACTCCACAGGAGTTTCTCTTGGCGCATGCCTCAGATTGTCACATCGCCGTTGGGCTTGTCGACCTCAGAGGAGTACAGTGCCGTTTTTAATACATTCTCCGCGTGCGGATCATGTATTAAACATGCAGGGATTTCGTACCAAAAACAACGATGAGCTCATGCATACATGTATTCATAAATTAATCATGAATCAAACATCCTATATGTTTAAAAACCCTATGTATGAACAACTGCCCTGTAGGGAGCAGTTCGAGGAAGGTGAGCCAAAGCTTCACCTGGCAGAGTCTGCCTCCACGGGGTGCCCTCGCCCAGGGCGCCCTCCTTCGACAGGAAGTCACGGAAGCTGTCGCTCGTCCTGCAGTACATTCATATGTTGGTGGAGAGCGCCCCATGTCGCGCGCACCGTGCCCCGTGGCGCCCAATAGCGTTCAACAGCGCCCAAGTCGGGGGTGGACAGAACCCCGAGCAGGGACACGTCGATTAGTGAATTGTCCGTTCTCGGTTCTCGAGAGGGCGCCGCGGCCGTCATTGTCCAGGCTTGCGCCCGCCAGGTTTGGGCCTCAGGTCGTTTTCACTAAACCGCGTTTCACTAAAGGGAGGTCCGTCCATCCCCGAGTCACGCGCACCGTGCCCCGTGGCGCCCAGTAGCGTCCAACAGCGCCCAAGAGTGCCGCAGCAGTATCCAGTGGCGCCCGCTGGTGCGCCATATGAGGGAGATGCATTGCGCCCGCTGTGCGCGCTATTGGGCGCTGCTGGGCGCCGCGGGGGCGACCCAATGCATCCGAGCGTAGCTTTCTAACCCTCCGCCTGCAGCGGAGGCGGGTCTGTCCGTGTGGCCCTCCCCCCATGCGCATATGTTTTTTTTGGTCTGCCAGCTTCGGCGCCCTGTGGAAGGGTATCGGGTGGACCCAGAAGGGGGTCCAGTGACAAGGGGGTGGTGCAATAGATTTGGTGCAACACATTTGTGGGGTTGCAATACATTTGGGGCGTGCAATACATTCCGGGGTGCAAATGGACTGCTGGATTTCCGCGTGCAATAACATCACTTGCAGTGCAGTGCAATAACATTCTCCGGCGCAAGTCTCCGGCGCCCCAAACTTATTGCGCCACCCCCTTTCAGCCGGACCCCCTCTTGTGTCACCCACAGGGTAGATATCTGTGGGGAAAAAATCACAGTCTGTGGGGAAAAAAACACACTGTGTGGAAACACACACACACACACACTCGGGGAAAAACACACAGAGTGTGTGTGTGTGTGTGTGTTTTTCCACAGTGTGTGTGTGTGTTTGTTTATCCACAGTGTGTGTTTTCCCACAGTGTGTTCTTTTTCCCAGAGTGTGTTTTCTCCCCTTGACGGACGCTCCTCATCGGCAGGCCCCAAATCTATTGCGCCACCCCCTTTCAGCTGGACCCCCTTTTGTGTCACCCAGAGGGTAGATATCAAGACCTCCCCTTGACGGACGTTGCTCATCGGCAGGCCGCTCCTGGCGCCACGGGGCCCCTTCCCCTCCTCCTCCTCCTCCTTCTCCTCCTCCTCCCCCTCCTCCTCCTCCTCCTCCTCCTCCCTCCTCCTCCCCCTCCCCCTCCTCCTCCTCCTCCTCCTCCTCTCCTCCTCCTCCTCCCCCTTATCCTCGTCCTCCTCCTCCTCCTCCTCCTACTCCTCCTCCTCTCCTTCTCCTCCTCCTACTCCTCCTCCTCCTCCTCCTCCTCCTCCCTCCTCCGCTTCCGGTGTCGCCTCCGTCGCCTCCTCCTCGGGGGGGGGGGCGGCCTGCCGGCCTCGGCGCCCCTGCGGAGGGTTCTCGCCCCTCCATCGGGAGGAGAAAAAGCACACAGACAGCATGAATCGTCGACTCCCAGGAGAATACGGGAAAATATGGGAAGTGGGGGGGAAGACAAAAACACAGAAAATATTGGAAAATATGGGGAATCCTTCTATTTGTGTGTGTGTGTGTTTATTTGCGTGTCCCAGGGCCCCTTCAGTCAAGCCCAGCGGCAGTGTTTTGCTGGCCCAGCCTTGGTTCGAGTGGTCATTGGTCCGTTCTGACGTCGATTTGTGCAAGGTGCCCGTCGGCTTCGTCGATCCCCTGGCGGCGCCGCCTGGATTCCCTTGAGGTGCTTCCCCAGGGATGGCTAGAGCCCCCGCTCCCCCGCTTCCTCGGATCGATTCATTTGTTATCCAGGCACCTGGCGGGTTCCTTGGGCTCAACGGGCGGTCTCTCGCGTATCTTGGGGATTCAAGCGAGGCTCCCCGTTTTTTGTTGGCCCCCCCTGGCGGAATTTTGGCGTGCTGCCGATATGAATTATGGTGTCAGTGTTCTGTTGTTCTTTGCTATGGTGTTTCTAGTGTGCGCTCGATTTCCTAGCATAGCATTGCATGTCATTTGTGTTTGCATTGCAAAGCATTGTTTTCAGTCGCATTACAATGGAGATAGCGAGAGAGAGGAAGATAGAGAGAGAGGGAGAAAGAGAGAAACATCACAATACGGCACTAATAAATTCTTTACGCTTCGCGTATCCCCACCAGCCCATCTCACAGCAGCAACTCTTGCGAAGCATGCCGACAGTCGTGTTTTTCAGGCGTGTGTCCGCGTGGCCCCGCATATCTCCCCTGTTCCTCCTTCCTCCCGCCTCCTTGTACATCCTCCTTGTGGGGGGAGCGGGAGAAGGACGAGGCGGAGGAGGAGGGAGAGAAAGCGCTCCTCGTGGTTTGAGTCGTTTGGGGTTTCTCGTCCTGGTGTGAGTCGTTCGGGCCCTTCTTCCTGGTGTGAGTCGTTCGGGCTCTTCGTGGTGTGAGTCGTTCGGGCTCTTCGTCCTGGTGTGAGTCGTTCGGGCTTCTCGTGGTGTGAGTTGTTCGGGCCCCTCATCCTGGTGTGAGTCGTTTGGGCCCCTCCTCCTGGTGTGACTCGTTCGGGCTCCTCGTGGTGTGAGTCGTTCGGGGCCCGCGTCGTGGTGTGAGTCGTTCGGGCTCCTCGTGGTGTGAGTCGTTCGGGCGCCTCGTCCTGGTGTGAGTCGTTCGGGCCCCTCCTTGTGGTGTGAGTCGTTCGGGCTCTTCGTGGTGTGAGTCGTTCGGGCCCCTCGTCCTGGTGTGAGTCGTTCGGGCTCCTGGTGGGGCCTCTTGGGGGCCTCTTGGAGCCTCTTGGGGCCTCTTGGGGGCCTCTTGGGGGCCTCTTGGGGGCCTCTTGGGGGCCTCGTGGGGCCTCTTGGGGCCTCTTGGGGGCCTCTTGGGGGCCTCTTGGGGGCCTCTTGGGGCCTCTTGGGGGCCTCTTGGATGCCTCTTGGATGCCTCTTGGGAGCCTCCTGGGGGCCTCTTGGGGCCATCTTGGGGCCTCTTGCGACCTCCTCAGAAGCGCAAGTGAGCGCTGCCCCCTCAGAAGGCCAAAATGAGGCCAAAACCTTCGTAACATCAATGATTTTGCTATGAAGGAAGGTGAGCGCGGCCCCCTCAGGACGCCAAAATGGGGCCAAAACCGTAGTAAAATCAATGATTTTGGCTTCGACGAAGAGCAGAGGGGCCAAACTCCCTCCCCCCGTCGGGGCCAGAATCCTCGTGCGGGTCGTCGTTGTTTGACCCTCCCAGGAGTCGACATTGACCCCCCTGACGACCCGCCGGGGGCCCTCTCCAGGCCCAGGGGGAGGGGGTAGGGGGAGGGGTAAACCCCTCCCCGAAGGGGAAGAAGGGGGGGGGTGAGGACAGAGAGAGCTCGCTAAACCACTCACGCCTAAAGGGCTGGTGGGATTGTGCGCAGCCCCGCACGCATTCGAATGCCCACACTTCGTCCTCGTACTACTCGTATAACTCCCCGTCCTTCTCCCCGTCTTGATCGTCGTCGTCCTTCTTGTCCTCCTCCGCATCCTCCTCATCCTCGTCTTCCTTCTGCTCCAGCTCGTTTTCCTAACGGTTGCGCCATTGGTTACGCCCTCGGCGGCCGAGAATAAAACCGTCTCCGATCGGTTGTGCCATAGGTTGCGCCCAGGGGTTCCAGAGAATGAAACCGTCGCGAACGGGTGCGACGGTGCGACCAGTCTGTTCAGTTCAGTTCAGTTCAGTTCTTTCAGTTTACCTCGCGAGAAACAAATTCGGGGTATGCCTGGAAATGTAATGAGAGATATAGACATACTCGGTCGACGCATAGAAGCAACACGGATAGAGGGAAGAACGAGGGAGAGACACAGGGAAAGAGAGAGTGAGGGAAATACACATAGGTGTATATATAGATATATGCATACATACATACATACATACATACATACATACATACATACACACACACACATACATACATACATACATACATACATACATACATACATACATACATACATACATACATACATACATACATACATACATACATATATATACAAAGGAATATAGGGATACGTCGAGAGAATGAGAGAGACAAAAACAGTGAGAGAGAGAGAGAGAGACGGGTGCATACCAAGTTGATGTTGTCCCATCCCGTCACCACGCTTGGGGTGTGGGCCATCTCTCCGCCCATCCATCCATCAGTGCATAGGTGCAGGTAGGGAGTGAACAGGAGAAAGAGTGGCTGATGGTCGCATAGCCGCCGTAGATTCAATGCTGCCGAAACAGATTATAATATTCCCTTGGTGGTTGACAATGAGCGTGGTAATCTTGCGGAGGCCGTGTATGATTTTGTAGATATCCTTGTTGCGATCTCCCCAATGGTTCAGCAGGTGATCGGCGCTCCGCTGGACCGCTTCCACCTCGGCCTGCATCCAGCGGCGGCTCCACCACCGCCAGGCGACCAGGGTCAAGCCACTCTGGGCCGCAACAATACTGTGGCTACCCCTCATAATAGAAGGCAGGTGTCAGATCTTGTTGCCGGTCTCGTGCCACTTGCAACCCCTCATGCTACGCTAGCCTGAACAATTCTAGCGTTTGCATCTATTGCCGTCTCCGGGGCGCATGTTGGCGAAGTGCCGCGGTCTTCCCTTCGTGGGCAAAAACCACAAGTGACCCCCGCGGGGCTTGTGTTTGAATCGTGCACACTGCATATGTGCCATATTTTCTGCTCCAGGTGTTCCCCATCAGTCGCCACACTTCGGGCGTTCTTGTTCAAGGGAGCGTTTGAGCTACCCTGGCGCAAAAAAGGTGTGCGCCCATTGTAATTGGTGGAAGGGGTCGGCAGTACTTTCGCCTACTCCAGCTTCCCCATAACTGCGAGCAAACGGAGCAGCAGCAAGTAGCAAGCAGGAGCCGTCACAGGACAGTCAGGATGAGTCGGAACGGGAGTCGAGTTGGCCAGTTCGGATGAGTCAGCGGGCTCCACCCACCGACACCCCCTCGTTGGCATCGCTCGGACTTGTGGATTTTTCCTTCGGCGAGGACCATCGAGGAGCATCCTTGATCATGTGGCGAAACAACTACGCACGAAACCGAACAAAAACACAGGGAATGGACGTCCGAGCGATGGCGAGCTGACACCCCCTCCCGTATGATAGGAACCAGTGCTATCGCAAGTAGGATTTGCCACTGGCGGGTGTTCCTGCCAGCCCTACGGAGGGCGCGGGCGCGCGACGCCTCGCTTCCGACGGCTGGGCGAGGGGAAGTCGAGCCCCGCTCCCAAGCGGGATAGATGTGGCGTTGCCAGGGAAGCAGCCTTCCCCTAGCTGACTGGCGGCCCATTCTGTCACGTCGCCGGCAACCGCACATGATGAAAGGAACAAGTCGATCTTGGGTCGTTTCTGGGGTTCTCGGATTTGCCTTGGCTTGGCCTTCCTATTGTATTTCTCCAGGGCCACGTCCGCCCAACCTTCAACAGCGACTATCCAGTAATTCGAATAGTGCTTCACAGGCATTGTGGGAGAAACACAGGATATATGCCATCTCCTTTTTTTGTGTCTGCATGATGGGTAGGACAAGGATCCCTTTCGAATCGCCATCTATGCGAAAACAAAGGGACATCGGAGTATATCCAGTTGCGCTCCCGCGCGAATCTGGTCTTTTTGTTGATTTTGATAATGCGCCGATGGCCTTTGAATCACCCCATTTCCCAGAGGCCTTCGGGGAGGGTCGTTCACTTATCTTCTCAGGAGGTACGCGAAGAGCCGGATGCCGAGAGTAATGAAGATGATGGCAAGGATGAGAATGTAAGGAAAGTGATGGCGACGCGAGTTGGTGATTCTTGCCACCAGTATGAAGATCGGCCAAGAGAAGGATGCTTGAGGCAGAGCAGGTGGTGAGGGATGGGCGGAGGGGTAAACAGAGAGTTATAACGACGAGTGTGGGTGAGGATGAGAGTGAAGGCGGGTGGGGTTGGCGGGGATGAGGTCGAGGATGAAGGTGAAGATGGCATCGAGCGACGACGACGAATATGCAGATGCAGCTGCAGGTCGGAAGTGGATGCGAGCCTGTTGGGCCCAGGGAAACTATGGTTCGCCTGTGGATCTGGGGGGAAATTGTGCCCGATTGGATGCATGGTAGATTCGCGCATTCCCTCACCAGCTATTGAGCCCTCGACGTCTCTCTTCGAGGGCGAGATGAGCTATCCTAGTGCGTCGCCCGCCCGCGCTGACGCAAACGAGCTTGGTACTCACGTTCAACTCTCCCGACTTTCACGTTCTGGCGACCCCTTTGTGCTCGACGCCGGCATCGGGCGTCTTCCCCGTGCGCGCCAGAAGAGGTTTTTGTGACCGCAATTGGACGCGCGCCCGAAACAACAAGAGGATTGAGCCAGTGTTGGGTCGGCGCCGATATTGAGCGCAGCTTGGCTGGTTGCAGCATTGCTGGCATGCTGCGTCTGGCAAAGCCTAGGCACATGTAATGCGATAGTTATTCGTAGCATAAGTATTGATGCAGTGCGAAGACCTTGCAGCCAGTGCCGCCGACCCTGAAGACGACGACGCTGACTGCGACGAGGTGGGAGGAGGAGGAGGAGGAGGAGGAGGAGGAGCCGCATGAGGAGGAGGCGGAAGACGCCCCCCTTACCCATCCCCGTCGGGACCCCCCCCAGGGGACCCCTAGGGGGTGATGCGTATCTGACCCCCCTCCCACCCCACCCACCCCCCCACCCCACACGCCCACCCCGCGCGACGGGGGAGGGATCAATGGGAAGGGGCTTCCCTTCGATTCGATTACGACATTGTTAGGTTTTTCTCTCGCTGACAGGCTCCAACGGAACCCGACTCGAACGGAGAAAACCCTTACACACGCCGACAGGGTCGGCGGATTTTCCCAAGCCAGGTGAAGCCAGCCTGCTGTGGCGCTCCAACGTTGCGTTGGTCACGCGCTGCCCATGGCCGCCGCGCAGATGGCACTTGGTGGTTTTGGTGCGGAAGGCACCTCCGTATCCCTTTGCTTGTAATCCCCTCCGTCTTCCTCTCTTGAGCCTGTAGTGGTCAGATTATTCTTCCACCTACTGAAGCTATTGTTATTGCGTGCCGCCGCAGTGAAATTTAGGCAGCGTAGCCGGACTTGATGGCACGTATGTAGCATGTTTGTTTTGTTGTTGATAAGATTGCATGGCCCTTCGGTCAGAGAGGCACGAAGACTTGCTAATGCAACGCGGCCAGCACCGTACCCCGACACCTGGATTGCCAGCTTTCTCGGATTTGGCTAATCAACCGCCAGAAGCCGCCCCAGATTCGACTATGGTGTCAGTGGGCACCTTGAGAGTGAGCGAATGGATATACAAGGCTCGATAAGGCGGAGCCCTTCATCGTGGGCCCCCCGGAGGTTGGATTCATTTTCTGGCATCAGTCACAGGATACACTTGAGCAGTGCGTCTCTGACAAAAAGGATGGATCACGAACGGGGCGTCATACTGCGGTTGCCTACGGAGACGACTTGAACATGAGTGGCGAAGGCGATAGTACTGGACGTTTCTTAACATTTTCGAACGAGCATTTGTTAGTGGAGGTCGCTTTGATGACACGGGCCAGCCAGCATTTTCCCAGGGTCATTTAGTCCGAGGGCTCTTTGCGAACCGCTTGCAATCCGCGATTGCACGGTTGACCAAGGGAGCCATCATCGAAGTCGCTTGCGGCGCACCACCGAAACCCGCCTTTCGGAAGTGTTTCTGTGGCCGAACGTTGTGGCCAGTGTTCGGCAAAGCTGTCGGACCATGTGTTCCCTCAGCCGTTGTGGCGACGCTTCTAGGAACACGTGGGGGAGAAAGAAGAAGAGGAGGAGAGATCACGTCGGGTTTTCTTGGAGCCCTCTTGGAGGCCTCTTGGGCTGTTCCGGCCGTCTTGGGCCCATCTTGGGCCGTTCTGGATGCATTGGGCTGTTTTGGAGACATCGCGAGGCAATGTTGGGTTCTCTTGGGGCCATCGTCTTGGAGGCCATCTCGGTGACCATCTTGGCCGTCTTGGAGGCTATCTTGGGGTCGCCCGGAGCGGGAAGACCGACAGATTGCTGAGTTGGCGGGTCTTCATTGGTTTAGTGGGCGGGGAGATGGATCCATCGGTATGTTCACGGGTTCCCACGGTGCGGGAAGACCGTCTTGGAGCGTCAGAAACGCATGGGCTTCATCATGTTAAAATCATTGATCGAGGGTGGACAGACCTCCTACCCTGACACGTCGATTAGTGAATTGTCTGTTTTCGGTTTTCGAGAAAGCGCCGCGGCCGTCATTTTCCAGGCTTGCGCCCGCCAGGTTTGGGCCCGAGGTCGTTTTCACTAATCCACGTTTTACTAAAGGGGGTTCTGTCCATCCCCGAACTGAACAAGCTAGGGAACATCCATTCTTGATGTCCTCCTGGAGGTCCTTTTGTAAACCTCTTGGGGTGTAATCGGGGCCATCTTGGGCACTCTGTGGGCCATCTTGGGTGCACCTCGGGCCGTCTTTGAGACACCTTGGTGCCATGTGGAGCTTCTCTTGAGGATCGTGGAGACGATTCTTCCGGATTGTTCCCTCCTTGTACGTGCTTGCGGGTGGACGCCGGGTGGGGCCGAAAAGCTTTCTGGGAATTTGCACAGGAAAGGAAGACTACCTGACATTTGGCGCGCCCGGGCGGCGGATGCAGTGACCTCCGGCCCATCCCGCCACCGTGCCTGGGTTGTAACCGGGTTGTCGGTCAGAGGCACCTTGGATGCTTGGAGTATCTACTCCAGATTTCGTAATAAAGGGAGGGGGGTCTCATTTCGGGGGGGGGTCTCTTCCAGGCTATCTTGGAGGGCCTGGGGGGTCTGGGGACGATGTTTTGGAGGGTTCTCCCACGGGGGAGGTCTGAAATGGCTTGTCTTGGAGGGTCCAGACCCCTGTCTTTTATTACGAAATCTGGAGTATTGGGAGACCTCTCGGATGCATCTTGGAGGCAGGTTTGGGACTGTTTGGGGGCGCTTCGGGGGCCTCGTGGGTGATTCGGGCCTCTCGGGGGCACCTCGGGGGCCTCTGGGAGGATTGTTTGGCCGCCTTGCGGCGGATGGCTCGAAATGATAGCTCGTGTTCCCCCTTCTTGGGCCCCTCGTGGGGCCGTAGTGTGGGCCTCGTGAAGCCCCCTTGGGAGCTGCTGCGTCGTCTTTGGAGAGTCGTGGGCGCCTCTTTGGCCGTTCCTGGACGCTCTGAGGACCGAAAGGGCGGTAGTGCCGGCACCATCGGATACACATGGATCAGGAGGGGAAGAAACACACAGACACAATGAATCGTCTAGTCCCCCAAAAATATGGGAAAATATGGGAAGTGGTGGGGAAGACAAAAGCCCAGAACATATGGGAACCTATGGGGAATCTTTTTATTTGTGTGTATTTATTTGTGTGTCCCAGGGGCCCTTCAATGGATTTTGGCGGTGTTGTCCGCTGGGGCCGCCCTCCAGGGCCTCCAGGGCGGCCCCGTGGGAGCCCAAGGGAGCTCCGGGGCGGTGCTCGTGGCCATCTTGGGCCGTGCTTCGCCAGCCTCGAACTTATCCCTATCCCTAAGATCGACACGCCACAAGGCCATGACAATCTTAGGGATGCGCCCTGAAAAACTAAGGGAATCCCTAAGATTGGCATCGCGATGAGGCGATGCCCAGCTCAGGGAGAGGGATATGTTCCAGGCTGGTAAATGCTGGCCATGCATGTCCCGAACAACGCGCTCTTGGCCTCTGGAAAAGCCACGCGGGGAACCCGCAGGAGCGCCCCGGAGCGCCTTGAACTCCGGGCTGGGGTCCCCTTCAAGAACATGCTCATCTTGTATGCAGAACTCGAGGGGCCGCAGAACACTCCAACTCGTGTCTCAGGGCGCGGTGGCGGACTTACAGGACCTAGTACAGAACTCGCAGGGAGCTCAGGACACTTCAACGTGTGCCTCAAGTCACGGTGGCGGATTCGAAGACCTTGACGCCGATTCGTCATCCATGCGGTCATGAGGCGATTTAATTCGAGCAGCCGCGGCGACATCTGATTTATCTTGGCCAAACAGTGTTTGGACGAAAGCTCCGATTACACAGATGTTCGTTGATCTCTCGGTATTCGAGCTGTGGTGGTTTATGGCAGTGACTACATCCCGTTCCCATTCAAACGCTGTTTTACTATTAACTCGGGCATGTCCGTCTACAGGAGGAATATTTAACAATAGTCCAACAATAGTCTGGGGACCACTTTTTTTGTTGTCATGCTTGACAATTTTGGAGTATTTTTCTGGTATGTTTTTTTTTCGTCTACAATTCCCCTGCACGGGGACATGCCCGACTTAATACAATTATCTGTGATAGATGTTGACGGTGGTTCAAGGGGTTGATGGCATTGTGGTATAGATGGTACGTGGGCAATTGTCCACCCTCCACTTGCCCCATCCACCGCTTCCTCCATCCTCCTGATTTGTTGTTGGCCCTCAGCCTATGCAGATTCAGAGACCATGCGCAAGATATTTCGGTAAGGAAAGCAGCGCAAGGGACAGAAAAGTCCAGTCGAAACCAAGCAATGCATTTGTTACGGCACAGGTGGGGATCCATAATGCCCATCGGCCCATAGGGAGGTGTATTATCAAAGGTTGTGGCCTTCCAGAGATCAGGTTTCGTGTTCCGGGCCGCACCTAACATATTAAATTCTAACGGGCCGCAGCGATAGGGTAGAGAAAAGACACCGACCAAGGTCAGGTATGCGGTGGCAATATAGCTTGAAGGCTGAATGAGCCAGCGGGCTGGCAATGCGCACGAGTTCATCTTCCTCTTTGCTTCCCCGTTTCCCCACCAGGTCGAGCTGCTTGCCGGCGAACTTTCCCTGCGCGTCGCGGACCACACGGGCGAGTTGAGTGCCTCGGTCGACCCGCGCATCGCGAGCGTTCGAGCAGGCGCACACCAGCGCTTCGCTTATTAGGGGAAAGGTGAGCGGATCGGAATCTTGGATCCAACACAGATTGGATCACGCTGGCGGCATGAGTATTCCCCAAGTAGGTCTTGCATTCAGGGGTCCTTACCTCTGCTTAATCCATTGGTTGGGCTTCCCGGGTCACTGCCACGATCCAGTTCGTGGGCACCTCGCGGTTGCCCCGCAAGTTAGGTTTAAGTCGGGCTTGTCCCTCTACAGGGGGGATATTCCATAATAGTCAAATTATAGTTTGGGGACGACTGTTTGATTATTCCCAACCCTCCTTGGTTGGGTATTCGTTTTGAATAGAGCACTGCGGTCTCCAGTCCTTCTCCTCTTCCTTCTCCTCCTCCCGCCTCCTGTCTCCCGCTCCCCTATTGTCTCCTCTTGCTTTGTTCGGGGGCCCCCAAACGGTGCGGTGACCACACCGTGCGGTGAGTGGGTGGGGATTCGGGGTCACCGCACGGTTTTGGGACTCGGGTCGTTCTCCGAGGACGTCTCGGGCGACAGGGGCCACCAGGGTCCCAAGACCGTGCGGTGACGGACCGTGCAGTGAGGTTTCTTGGGGTTCCGAGGTCACCGCACGGTCTGTCACCGCACAGTTTCGGGACTCCAAATTTATGCGGATCTCGCCAGTCCTGGGTGGTTGCGATCTGCGAAACTGTCGCCGCTTTCGAGGGCTGCTGGGGAGGCCGTCCCTGGGGGGGGGGGGGGCTGCGATCTGTGACACTGTCGCCACTTTCGAGGGCTGCTGGTGGGTCCTGCGGAGTGAGGCACCGCGGGGATCTGAGCGGGACCTCGCCGTCCCTGGGGGGCTGCGATCTGCGACATTGTCGCCACTTTCGAGGACTGCTGGTGGGTCCTGCGGAGTGAGGCACCGCAGGGACCTGAGCGGGACCTCGCCGTCCCTGGGGGGCTGCGATCTGCTGGTGGTTCCTGCGGAGTGAGTCACCGCGGGGACCTGAGCGGGACCTCGCCGTCTTTGGGGGGGTTGCGATCTGCGACATTGTCGCCACTTTCGAGGCTGCTGGTGGGTCCTGCGGAGTGAGGCACCGCGGGGATCTGAGCGGGGCGTCGCCGTCCCTGGGGGGCTGCGATCTGCGACGCTGTCGCCACTTTCGAGGGCTGCTGGTGGGTCCTGCGGAGTGAGGCACCGCGGGGACCTGAGCGGGACCTCGCCGTCCCTGGGGGGCTGCGATCTGCGACACGGTCGCCATTTTCGAGGCTGCTGGTGGGTCCTGCGGAATGGGGCACCGCGGGGATCTGAGCGGGGCCTCGCCGTCCCTGGGGGGCTGCGATCTGCGACATTGTCGCCACTTTCGAGGGCTGCTGGTAGGTCCTGCGGAGTGAGTCACCGCGGGGACCTGAGCGGGACCTCGCCGTCTCTGGGGGGGCTGCGATCTGCGACATTGTCGCCACTTTCGAGGGCTGCTGGTGGGTCCTGCGGAGTAAGGCACCGCGGGGATCTGAGCGGGGCCTCGCCGTCCCTGGGGGGCTGCGATCTGCGACATTGTCGCCACTTTCGAGGGCTGCTGGTGGGTCCTGCGGAGTGAGGCACCGCGGGGATCTGAGCGGGACCTCGCCGTCCCTGGGGGGCTGCGATCTGCGACATTGTCGCCACTTTCGAGGGCTGCTGGTGGGTCCTGCGGAGTGAGGCACCGCGGGGATCTGAGCGGGACCTCGCCGTCCCTGGGGGGCTGCGATCTGCGACGCTGTCGACACTTTCGAGGGCTGCTGGTGGGTCCTGCGGGGTGAGGCACCGCGGGGATCAGAGCGGGACCTCGCCGTCCCTGGGGGGCTGCGATCTGCGACATTGTCGCCACTTTCGAGGGCTGCTGGTAGGTCCTGCGGAGTGAGGCACCGCGGGGACTTGAGCAGGACCTCGCCGTCCCTGGGGGGCTGCGATCTGCGACACTGTCGCCACTTCCGAGGGCTGCTGGTGGGTCCTGCGGAGTGAGGCACCGCGGGGATCTGAGCGGGACCTCGCCGTCCTTGGGGGGCTGCGATCTGCGACACTGTCGCCTTTTCGAGGGCTGCAGGTGGGTCCTGCTGAGTGTGAGGCACCACGGGGATCTGAGCGGGGCGTCGCCGTTTCGGGGGGGCTGCGATCTGCGACATTGTCGCCACTTTCGAGGGCTGCTGGTGGGTCCTGCGGCGGCGGAGTGAGGCACCGCGGGGACTTGAGCAGGGCCTCGCTGTCTCTGGGGGGCTCTGGAGAGCTGCTGCGGGATACGTTAGGCGCAATGGGCGCATGGCACAGCCAACGGGGGTGATTTGTGAAACAGACCATCTGCCGGGCGATGGCCATAACGTTGCGCCTACACGTATCCCGCGGGGGTTCTCAAGATTTGTTGTGGGATACGTTTGGGTGCAACGGGCGCATGGCGCAGCCAACCGGGGTGATTTGCTATTGCGTAGCCTTTAGATAAGGATCGGGGGCCTGCGAGCCTTCCGATTGCTGCTGGCAAAATCACATGCGTCCATGTTACGCCATCGCCCCCGTTGTAGCAATCCTGATGTACTTCTGCCCCGCATTGCGCACGGGTTGGGTACTCCAGATTTCGTAATTAAAGGGAGGGGGTCTGGACCCTCCAAGACAAGCCATTTCAGGCCTCCCCCGTGGGAGAACCCTCCAAAAAATCGTCCCCAGACCCCCCAGGCCCTCCAAGATGACCTGGACGAGACCCCCCCCGAAATGAGACCCCCCTCCCTTTATTACGAAATCTGGAGTACGTCGCAAGGGTAATGTTTCCCAACCCTCCCTGGTTGGGTATTCGTTTTGACTAGAGCACTGTGGTCGCGTCCTTCTCCTCCCGCCTCCCGCTGTCGCCACTTTCGAGGGCTGCAGGGGGAGGCCGGCAGAGAGGGTACCCGCCGCGGATCCGAATTAGACCTCGCCAGCACTGGGGGGCTGCGATCTGCGAAACCGCCGCCACTTTCGCGAGCTGCTGGGGAGACCAGCAGAGAGGGTACCCACCGCGGATAAGAATTAGACCTCGCCATCCCCGGGGGGCTGCGATCTGCGACACTGTCGCCACTTTCGAGGGCTGCTGGTGGGTCCAGCGGAGTGAGGCACCGCGGGGATTTGAGCGGGACCTCGCCGTCCCTGGGTGCTGCGATTTGCGACACCGTCGCCCGTTTCGAGGGCTGCTGGTGGGTCCTGCGGAGTAAGGCACCGCGGGGATCTGAGCGGGACCTCGCCGTCCCTGGGGGGGCTTCGATCTGCGACACTGTCGCCACTTTCGAGGGCTGCTGGTAGGTCCTGCGGAGTGAGGCACTGCGGGGACTTGAGCAGGACCTCGCCGTCCCTGGGGGGCTGCGATCTGCGACGCCGTCGCCACTTCCGAGGGCTGCTGGTGGGTCCAGCGGAGTGAGGCACCGCGGGGACCTGACCGAGACCTCGCCGTCCTTGGGGGGGCTGCGATCTGCGACATTGTCGCCACTTTCGAGGGCTGTTGGTGGTTCCAGCGAAGTGAGGCACCGCGGGGACCTGAGCGGGACCTCGCCGTCCCTGGGGGGCTGCGATCTGCGACACCGCCGCCACGTTCGAGGGCTGCTGGTGGGTCCAGCGGAGTGAGGCACCGCGGGGATCTGAGGGGACCTCGCCGACCTTGGGGGGCTGCGATCTGCGACGCCGTCGCCACTTTCGAGGGCTGCTGGTGGGTCCTTCGGAGTGAGGCACCGCGGGGACCTGAGCGGGACCTCCCCGTCCTTGGGGGGCTGCGATCTGCGACACCGTCGTCATTTTCGAGGGCTGCTGGTGGGCTCGCCACTTTTCAGGGCTTCCGGTGAGTCCAGCGGAGTGAGGCACTGCGCAGACCTGAGCAGGGCTTCGCCGTCCTTTGGGGTCCATGTCATTTTGTTGCTGCCCATTGCCCATTGTCTCCTCTTGGACCTTGCGTCTTTATTAGTGACTCGTGCGTTCACCTAGTTCTTCGTCGTGTTTCCCTTGATTTGGGGTCTGCGAGCCTTCCGAATGCCGCTCGCAGAAATAATTGCGTCCATGCCACGTCGCCGCCTTCTCGTCAAATCTCCCAAGCTACTCATGCCCAGCATTGCGCATGGGTTGGGTATGTCGCGGGGGTGTTTTCATGTTCTGGGCCAGTTCCCCTGTTGTCGTCGCGGGTTGCGCCTTCTTCAGCAGACGTCGTCGCAGAGCCGATTGGGGGTTGCCTCTGGCTGCTATGAGGACTGTGTTGTTTATCGGAGGGAGGCTTCGGCCCTGGCTGGTTCTTTATGTAATTTGCGCGGGCCCACGCGGACGCGATATTCCCTGCTCCTAACCACTCTGCCCATTATGTTTCCTGCCGTTATCGCTTCCAGCTTCCCCGCATCTCTCACACATGGCTCAGAACACCTAGCTTTCACACAGCTTGCACTACATGGCTTGCACCCCATACCTCATACAACACAGCTTACGCCACATCGCTTGCAGCTCGCAAGCTCTCGCCGAATATCTTATATCGCATACAGTTCACCGCCACATTGCTACATCTGGCTGTTTTGGGGTCCACGCCCGCTACATTGACTTGGCAATAGATATGAACATGGGTTGGACACAGTTAGTGTGTTTCGTACGTTGTGGGTTTTTGAGACTTCTTTGATCGCCAGTTTGGCGTTACCTGAAGTGCTTGCCCCGACACCGACCCTGCATTCTTCAGTTGGATCTGATTTCGAAGCATGTGTTCTTCGAGGCACAGACAATGTAGTACACTACCGGGGCGCAGCACGATGTTCTTGTTGGGGGACCATATCGTTTCTGCCCGTCGATGCTGGACATATCTCTCTCTTTGGTGTGTGGGCTTGGATCTCCAAAGCCTCATGGATGCTGGCATGACCGAAGGATTGGACAACGGGTGCGTTCGATGCTCGTTTTGGGGACCTTCCTGGGGGCCACCTAATGGATCTGTTCGACTCAGGTTCGACTCAAGTTCGACTCAGGTTCGACTCAGGTTCGACTCAGATTCGACTC